CAGCCTTTCGTCAAAATGACAGTAGTTTCAATGTTATGTTATGATGCTATCAGGCGACTTGAGCACACATTCAAAAATAATCGCCGATGCGGACGTGTGCCCAGAGTCACAATGCCAAATCCTAGGTCATTGAATAGGTGAGAATCACGTCACTCATGCCTTCATGTTCGCTTCTTCTCAGAAGAACGCTAAACACATGGGGACGTGAAGACACTTCTCACACCACAGACTACTGCGCATCGTTGCCTCAGAACCCGAGACGTGCTGGTGTTTGGCTGTAGGTGCCAAGGACAGTGGGTATAGGTGGCAAGGCAGGAACTATGTGACAGATTTTTGAAGGCCAATGGACAGTTCACAGAATTGAGTCGCTATACATTGCTATTACCACTATCAACCACTACAATTTTAGAAGCAGCATTTTGGGGAAAGCAGCTGTTAATGTAGTTGAAGATTGAACGATCAATTCATGGTTGATTGCTCAAACCAAACTTATCCATATTTTTTGCGGGTCATCAATCCGGCAGTTATCGTCTCATCGTTCTCTGTTCAAAGGAAGATAAAATACTACCAGAAGTATTATCATGATTTATTGTTATAACATTTGTTCTTAGACCTTGCGTAATAACATTATTGTTGGTTACATATTGGCGTAAGAATAAAGGATTCTTTGTCACCAATCAGAGTTTTGATTTTCACGTTGATTAATACAAAGCGTTTCTGAGAGTCTTCGAGGGACAGCGTGAGGTCCAGCGTAGCAAGAACTGGACATTGACGGTTTATGAGACTTGGCTGACAGCAGCATTAATCTAAAAGACAATGGTAAGACATTTGTTAATGTAAAGACGGGTGGTGGACGGAGATCATTTCCACTCGGGAAACAGAAAAAAGCACACAAAGACCACGCGACCGACGTGACACACCCAATCACGGGAGGAAAACCGCTAAGCTTGGAGCCAAGAAAATCTCGAAGACATGCGCAATTTTACGGCAATATTCCTTCACCAAGACTACTTTTAGTCAATGCAAGTAGAAGGTAGATTAACTTTGAACGAATGTCGTTAACTTTAAGAAAATATCGCAAACATGTTACATGGAATTAATCCTCAGTCCAAGCAATGAGTATTAAACTTGGTCTTGTGGATGCTAGGCAAGTTACAATGCATAATCAGGAAACTGCAGTCGTCGACTATTATGTACATAAGCTCCAAATTTACAAGCATTCACTTATGCAAAGTGTTAACACAGCAAAGTTTAATACTTAAAATACCATAAGATGGACGAACCTATTTTACATTATGAAGGACAACACTTCCGCATTTTGCAGCCCAGACGTTCCATCAGAGTACTACATTAGTTCTGCTTAGTGTATGCGGAGATTTTACCACAAATCTATCTAGGTTGGATGTGATAAAATGTACTGAAACACTGACATTAATTATACAGCATCAGCGAAAATGGTATACAAATAGTAGATAGACTGCAGTAAAGCCTATAAGATTAAGTCTACAGAACTAATAAAGTTAGTGTGCATCCTAACTGCATATATTGGATTATTGCACTGAATACTATATTACTGCAAATCAGACGAATAATTATTATTTCTACTTCGCTTTACTTGCAAAAATCATGACAATGACCTGTATTTGTGTCGGTGGCATAGCAGTTAGGACTCTCGCCGACCATGCACACGGTCCTGGGTTCGATCCCCGGCCGACGCACATCTGATATCAATGGTTGGCCGGCAAATTTGGGCTACCGATATCGCATGCTGAAAATCCCATACTTGTACTCAATATACGGTGTAGAATCAAGCTGTAGCCAAAAAATTATTTGTTATTCCACTTATCAGAATAAAAGAAAATGGTACAAAATTAACACAGTTTAGCGAATGATTTGTACATTGAATCTAAGCAGATTGCATAACACCACTCATTGCAAATATTCATTCAATCCAACCATCGATAACCTTTCAACTTATGATAATTTCTACCCACACATACATAATTTATCATGGCTCAATTTCACACCATATTCTTGGCACGAATATGGAATTTTCAGCATGTGATATCGGTAGCCCAAGTTCGAAGGCCGACCATTGATACCAGCTGTTCGTCGACAGGAGATCGACCCCTGGACCGTGTGTATGTACGGTGGGCTAGAGTCTTAACTTCCATGCCACCGACGCACAATAACACTCTGTGCGAATACAGAGCTAAAAAATGCGATAAGATTCTTTGTATTGTGCCTCCCCACGGAAATCTATAGCCAAAGGCAAAAGATTTATCCGCGAATGGGGAGACACCAGAGTTATCAAGTGAAATGACGAATATATATCATCACCTATGTCCTCATGGAGATTCTGCTAACAGATGTGCACGATTTACATGCACTGATAGCATCTGATTTTCAAACAGTGCTCTTATGTACATAGAAAATAGATGCAGTAAAGATATGGGACGTGTGAAGTCTTAACAAAATGATACAATGCAATAAACAGCCGTGTTGACACAAGGCAGACTATTCGAGTAGATGACATTACCCTCCGATTATTTTACACAGCTCATTATAGTAATATCACTCACAATCCACCTGAGACACAAAGACTTGCAACCATTTAGCTTGGAGTGTATCGCAGTCAGATAACATTTTTCATTTTTTTTTTTTCATTTTTGATTATAGCTTGATTCCACACTGTATTTTTGGTACATGTATGGAATTTTCAGCGTGGATATCGGTAGCCCAGAATTCGCAGGCCGACCATAGATATCAGGTGTGCGTCGGCGTGGGCTCGAACCTAGGACCATGTGCATGGTCGGCGAGAGTCCTAACCACTGTGCCACCGACGCACATGACGCGCACGCAAATATCTAAAATTCGGAATTTCCATGAATTCAGGTAGCATATACAATTTTATCGGCAACTAATAACTAAACGATATTTACTAAGTGTAATTACATCCAATATGCCAATTGTGTTCAACCTCAACATATAGCAATAAACCAATAGGAGTCGCGCCAGCTATAAACAACTGAGATCTGCCTGTAGTCATGTTCCATATGTAACAGTAAGTTCAGTATATAGGTTTTCCTGCTGATCTTTTTTTGTATCACGGATGGATTCCAGGGGATTTAGTCTTCCCGATAAAAGTTTTTAAGTGTTATTGTCTCTTAGACTGGCAAAATTGACTTCGAAACAATCTCTTCGTAGTTATTTTCATTGGCTTAAAAACTACTTTTCTATTAACAATTTACTCAAGTAAACCTTCACACCCCATTCTGTCCAAAAAATATAAATTACTGGTCACTTTTGTATTTCAGGATAATTGTTCTGAAGTACTGGTACTTGTCAGGTGGCAATAATTATTTACTTAATTAAAAACTGTGTTTCTACTCTCTAGGTGTATTAGTTCTGATTATGTGATTTAATTGACTTTCGGATAATTATTGTAGCTGCAATTAAACACCCGATTTCTCAACATTGGTGATGCGGAAATAAGAATTCCTGTGTTATAAATGCAAATGTTATGGAGTTGGTGAAGTGTTCTCGCGTACAGGCTGCAGCTGCTATATTTGGCAAGGAACAAGTGCATTTTGTTTGCAGAATGATGAGAAAGTCTTTAGCGTTGAAATGCCCATATATATTTGACAGTTAGTCATAAATATTTGTATATCGTTCTTTGTCATTTAGATATTTGGTTTTTTTGTTGATTGAGGATAGAAGGCTTGAAGCCTATGTCGATCCTTTTCTGGTGAATCTCTGTGCTTGTCCAAATTCTCGAATAAGTCAATTAAAGTCTCTGACACTTTTTTCTGGAAGTAGGTTCCGGCAGTTGATCAGTCGGTGTAAGAAACAATACTCTACAGCAATATAGTTTCTCATTGGCTTTCGAACTCTCCCGTTGGTACCTTTAGTGTCTTGCGCTGGTGGAAAGGTAATGAAAGAATAGGCCAGATCCGTAGTGTTTATTTAAAATTTTAAACATTGTAATGGGATTTTTCTGTTTACGGTATAACAGAAAGAAGAGATTTAAACTACTTAGTCTCTCCTTGTATAATAAGTTAGTTCTTTCAAAAATCTTACGTGTTGGCTTCTTTTGAACCCTTCCTAGAACACGTAGGTCCCCTTTGAAACAGGCACTACCTGTCTGGTTACAGTTCTTCAGCTTTGACTCCACCAGAGATGTATGTAAAAAGGTGAGCGTATCTCTGGTAATTCTAGTAGAGGCTCTGCGAAATGCCCATAAATATTAGGGTTTGAATACAACTGCTCAAGTTGTTTGTATCTGCCTATGTACTCAGTGTCAAGCAGTGTAAATGAACTGATCGTCTTCGATTGTTGGCATATGCGTTCTATCTGTTGTGTTACTAGGTTTAATATAATCAGCAATTCTAAGGTTAATTAAGAGGGGCGAGTCAGCTAATGATGTTGTGCACTTACAGCGATTGAGAACACCGGGATACATGCTATGTTTGTCAAGTTACTGCCTTACTCGTAAAATAATGTTAGGTGATATAAGCTATTTTTGAAAGGTTTAGGGGTGGTCAAGCAAAACATGATTTCAATCTGTGAAGTCTTTAACTGTGAGTTTGAGTCACGTGGGTGGATGCATACTATCTGGTTGGGGTCCTCGAGGAGCTGGAAACCAGTGGCTGGAGACAGGTGGTAACATGGCTCATAGTTGTTCTCAACGGTACAGATGCATTCACATTTGTTTTTTCCTCTAGGTACATTAAACTCTCATTATTATCCATGTCAGTATTTTTTCTCTTGTAAACCTCTGTATACTATGGGCTTTTTGGATTGGTACTTTCTCTAGCTTAGCTCGTGCCTTTATGAATTATATAACAACTTGATATGCTTCACTTTTGTGCAAAGTTCCTCATTGAAAATATAGTTCAGTTAAGAACATATGACATATTAGCAACCTTTTTCTTATTCTTCCATTTGCACTAACGCGCCAAAATATTATCTCAGTCAGTAGTATTAGTGGTCATATGCATGTATGGGCTAGTTAGATGACATTTACCCAATATATAAATTTCTGACTGCTCACAAGTGGTTTGTCACATCAGGAACTACCATATAGTCTCTTATTTTATAACCACATGGTTCATTTCTTTATGCAACGTAGATCTGCAAAGGAGTATATTAATTTATCTCAATAGTTCCGTGACAGCATATATTTTTTTTGATTTACAGCTTGATTCCACACTGTATTTTTGGTACAAGTATTGAATTTTCAGCATGGATATCGGTAGCCCAAATTTTGCAGGCCAACCATAGATATCAGGTGTGCGTCGGTGAGGTTTCGAACCTCGAACCATGTGCATGCTCGGCAGGAGTCCTAACCACTGTGCCACCGACTCAGAATGTAACGGAAACATAGACTAAAATCCGTTGTTCCTCGTCGCCGAAAACTAGGGTTGTCAGATAGAAGTGAATAGAAACAAATTTTTAGTATGTAGAAAAAAGAATGGAGTAATGAATAACAGCTTATGATTTTAAAATATCATTAGTGACATACACTAAACACATCTACCTGATTATGGACCGTGCCACCGTGATACCATTTCTGTGTAGTGTTAAGGTTGGATATCATCCTAATGAAATATTTACATCTAGTGTTTTGAAGTCATTGGTGGGGAAGTGAGTCACTTTCAGCTGAACAGTTGCACTTAAAAGTCGTATAAACTCAAAGGACCCTTTTTCTTGACAAGGAAGTATCGATCAAATCTTTACTTTTCGACCAGTTGTTCAACTTAGGCATTCATGCACTAGAAAACCCATCCAATGGTAGTTTATCATGGATAGAACTGACTATTACCTAAAGTTTTGAATCGTAGAGATTCGGTTGATTTTAAGTTAGACCACTAACTGACATCATTTAGAGAACCACTGCTTAACACGGGAGTACTAGACATCTGTGTCGTCCAGTGATCCAGTTTAAGGTCAGTTAATTCCCTGCCAACCAACACTTGGAAATCGATCTGTCGCCTAATAGTGACTGATTAGGTGGAGATCTAGTCAAAACTTGTAATCAGTGGAGTCTACCAAGTCAGGTATAAGGACAGATACTCACAGATAACGCTGGTTAGTAGTGGTACTATATGCAAAGAGTTAGCAGAAGTTATAACTCATGAGTTACTTGGTTAAGTCCCAGTAGTTGAATCATCGATGGACTCACCCTGTCGTCGATACCAGCTGGAGCCATGGGTGCATAGTGCTGAAGAGTTTCAAACTAGGACTAAACAGGCGTCCGTTGGTGGTTACCTGAAGGTTAGTTATCGTATAATGTTGATGGTAGGCGTATGAACTTATTATCATTATTACTACATATAGAATCACAAATCGCCTGAAACCTGCTTCTCACGAGCTTGCCCTACCACCTATGATGTAATACCCCTTGTAGTTGTCACAAGACTTCGCCTTTTTTCTGACAGAATTGTGCATGAAAAGTCCGTTCCGGGCAACAGAGTTGTAACTAACTTAAGATAAGATAAAAGCTTTATTCCAAATCAGTACTTGTGATACAGAATGGAATTCTCAGCATTTTTACTACAATATTGCATTCAGTTAGTACATTAACAATAAATAAAGTTCTACATAGATTAAAGTTATCTTCAGTCAGTTTTGACAACAGCATATCGGTAGCAAAGCCAAAATTTAAACAGTGTTTGAAGGTGTTAGAAAAGTAGATACTACTAGCATATTTACTGGCGTAAGCGATAGCAAAATGGTCGAGATAAACAGAGTGTGAAAGAACGAACAAGAATGTTTTAAGTAGAGTTTGTAAGGAAGAGAGAAACAAAACAGCACATAATAAAAATAAATACAGAATGAAAAAAAAGTAGAGAGAAAACGTTGTACTTATAAATGATATGAGTTGGAAAGACGAGATCCATTTGTTCTACTGACTATTTAATAATTTAAAGGTTTCACGCCTAATGCTTTCTTTATCGCACAGAACACGAGCTAGGTAGGGTATGGATCAGATTTTGTACTTGCTAGTGCGAGCATATAGTTTCCTACATAGGCTTCTGGTTTTCTCTGAAGAGATACATGGGGAGAGTTGTAAATGTAGAGGGTGTTGTGAGTCAGATAAAATGGATTTCGCCCATTTTTCACATGAGTCCATATGCCTGTCCACCAGAATATTAACAAGCTGGATAAGTGGCAAACTGCTTACCCTGCTGACAACCTTTAACATCCTGCGTAATAAGGTATAGTCTTTCTTCAATAGCCCAAGAAAGACTAAGGGGAACAATAGAGAATAATAGGCAGAATACGTGAGTTAAAAAATTGTAGGAGTAAGGGTTGGGTTATACCAGAATGTCTTAACTTCTTGATGTAGGAGGTAAGATGGAATATTTTCTTAGAAATCGTCAAGATATGAGACGACCAGGAAAGATCAGAAGATAGAGTGACGCCTAGGTATTTAATATCCGACTTGGTTTCTATTTCAGTGCCATCTATGTTGCACACCTCGTGAGTGCTAACCAGTTTGTTTAGGTCAGATTTATGCCTAAAGGTGAAATTAACTGTTTGGCATTTGGAGGGGTTTAAGGTGAGACTGTTTTCTTTGGACCATTGGCTGATTTCTGATAAGAAGCAATTTAGTTTAGAGCAGTCACTTTGACATTTAACCGGTAAAGATACAGTTAGGTCATCAGCATATTTGACAAAGTTAGTGTCATTTGAAGATGTTAGGTCATATAGAAAGAAAGAAAAGAGAAGTGGGGAGAGTACAGCACCTTGGGGGACACCACCTTCAGTGAGCACAGCAGAGGAGGATTCGCCTTTGTATACGGTGTACTGTACTGAAAAGTAGGAATGCAACTAGTTAGTGACCCAGGACTCAGTTTGTGTCATGGAGAGCTTATTTAGCAAGAGACATCTAGGTACATAGCCGAAAGCAGAAGTGAAGTCAAGAAACGTGCAGCGGACATATTTGCACCTTTGTCTAATGATGAGACAATACTGTTGTGTAAGACAGCTGCAGCGTCTAAAGTACTCCTACCCTGTCTGTAGGCAAATTGTTTGGGGTCTTCGAAGCTTTTGAGAGAGGGTTTGAGTCTAGGAAGTACTAATTTTTGCATGAGCTTTAGAAACGGGGAAGTGATGGCAATGGGTCTGTTATATTGATGATTGAGTCATCTAATGTACTTTCATAGAATAAATCCCAGTTAGTATTTTTCAACATGCATCTTAGATTGAGTAGGTTATTAGATGTGTAGCATCTTTGTTGTGCTTTCTTAGACAGGTGTGAGAAGACTTCGATATGTGTTTTGCTGCATATTTTTGGTAAAACACGGACAATGCAGTGGTCTGAGTTTGGTATCGGTGAACGTCTACGTGTTTCATATACTCCTTCGTCATTAGTAAAAACTAGATCGAGTGTTTTGTCAAGTCGAGTGGGAAATTTCACTATGTTTGTGTGACCAAGAGCTTCAAGAAAGGAGCAATCTGAGGAGTTGAAGTCCCCAGTAATAATGTATAGAGAGTTGTCGAAGTTGGCAGCAGCAAACATGGTGAATTCATCAGCAAAATTAGATAGATCAGATGGAGAGCAACTAGGAGAAATGTACATGTTTGTAATATATATTCGTTTATATTTGGGGAGATGTTTGGGGCGACATTTGACAGTAAT